ACCATAGCAACACAAACTTAATTAACAAAATCACACACTGAAGTTATGGTGAATTGTTTTGGTGATTGGAGATAAAGAAGGGAAAAGCTTTTCATAAATCTGTGCACAGCTGACTCTGGTTCTACCTTGGGCAGTTTTGGTCTCTCCACTGGTGAAAGGTCCTCCTTCATAAGAGGTACCGCTTGGGCTGGAAACACTGAAGACCCGGTACCCAACTTCCTGAAAGGCTGGTGCCTCCCAACGCCACATTACCGTGTCGCCAATGAATACGGTGAGTGAGGCTGGACTCCACGCATTTCCCTGCCCATAAACTGGAAAACGCATGGTTACGTTGAATAAGACTTACACAAAGTACCGACAAACACACACACGGATTAAAGTGTCTGATATCTAACACAATCTGAGACATTTCTTTGTGAATCAGTTGCATTTTAGTTGCATAGAGATTACAGGCGACAACTTCCTCGCAGGTGTATGTTTTCTGTAAGTTAATCCTCTTTCTGTTGTACACAACTTCAGCTTCTCAGATTTAGTTTGACAGCTGCACAAAGCACAGAAACATAAAACTACCGCGATCGAATCCCTGGTTGGTAACGATGTGGGTCTTCTCCTCTGATTGCACAACACACTGCAGCTCATTCTCTGAGGCGGCCGTGACTTCACAAGCAGCGTTTCCTGTCACAACGCAAACAGAAAACATGAAGGAGATCAGTGATGCAGCTCTGTTACACCATTTTTAAATATTTGCAAGCTTTTGCATCATCATTAACTTCCATTCATATAAATTGCTTAAATATATTTGCTAGTAAAACACACGGTTGGCATAATTACGACTGGATCACATGTTGCTTACCAACAGACACAGTGTTGTCAGATACGTTGCTGCTGAACCCAGAGCCAGAAACGGTCAGCTCGGTTCCTCCCATCAAAGAACCGAACAACGGCGAGACGCTGTAGACTTCCAGGATGTACTCAATGGTCGTGTTTACACCATTGCTGTAAAACAAAAAAACAGACCAGCTAAGGTAAAGGCATTAATAATAGACTTATGAGAATTAATCTTAAACTGTGTCATTTGTTTTGGTATCTATGGCATCTTATTAAAACCTAACTTTAGGATAATTTCGACCAAATTTTTAATCACTTTTTGACAAATGATTCTGTACATGCAGTTTGTATGCCCCGGTGACCACTGAAATCAAAGATCATTCAGATAAAGCTTTGAAATAAGATGGCAGCATTTGCTCCAAGAAGTTCTTTGGAATGATTTGGGTCAAAAAATCATTCCAAAGAAAAAATTTACAACAAATGATGTTTTCTACATCATTTGTTGTACATTTTAACTGAAAAAAAAAATTCCCTTAAGAATTTCCTTCATTGTCCTCATGAATAATGGTGGGAATACAAATACATGGCACCATTTCATGGAGAGAAGATCTTTTGGGCAGGTAGAGAAAGAAATTACTGATCTTTATTAAATATTCCAAGAAAGTCGAGTCTATTTTTGAGTAGCAAAAGCTTTTCACTGGGAAGATGCACTTAACAGAACTTGATATCTGCTTTTAGATAAATTCATCTATCTGTCTATGATCTATGTACAGTGGTCCCTCGCTATAACGCGGTTCACCTTTTGCGGACTCGCTGCTTTGCGGATTTTTTTTTTTTGCGCAATTTTGCATGCTTTTTTTATGTTGTATTTTTATTTTTATTTTTTACAGCGCATTGTGTTCTGCGTCCTGATTGGCTGTAGACCATTTTTAGTCAATCTCGTGCCATATCTCCTGTACAGTACAGAATGCGTTAAGCTTCGTAAATAATTGCGTTAAGCAAATTTACATAAATCTTGGATCGCTAGCAGTGTGACTCTGAAGTGCTGTACTGCATGTTTTTAAGTCTTCTCCCCAACAAACACAACACTGAAACGTTTTGCACCGTCAAAGGCAACCGCGGGTGCCTTTGGTTTCATTCTATTTATTATCATATTATTTGTTTATTGTTGTCCTATTTATTTTCTACTCCTTTGAAGGGATCAAACTCTAGTGTCAGGAACCTTGGTGCAGTCTATACAGTGTATATTGACTGAAAAAAACAAATATAAAACAATGTTTGTATCTGACCCTCACAGAATGCGCCTGGGCCCATCTGACACGTGAGAAAACAATTCAGCAGTCTTTCATTTTTTGCACGCGAAAGATGAACCCGTGATAGTACTTCCAAATCACTCAGTGTATCTTTGACAGACGCTGTACCTCGTCTGGGGGTAGCCATTGTTCCCAACCTGTACGTCCACCTCATGCATGCCAGGTGGCAGCACAGGGAGAAGACAGGTGATGTTTGCTTCCGTCCAAAGCACAGTGACACATTCCCTCCTTCCTACAAGCACGATGCTGTCATTGTCTTGCTGCCCGAGGTTCAAACCTTGGATGGTGAGAACTCGGTGGCCTGCACAAAGAAAGACAAACAAGTATGCCAACTCATTTTTCCAACGTAGCAGCCTCTGTCATTAAAGTGCCAAGATGACTGGCACTTGTCACCTTGTTGGCTCTCATTGTATGTCATGAATGTCACGGGTTGTTCTGCAGATCAATAGAAATTCTTTTAGCGTCATTTCTTCCTAGTTGTTTAGTATAATTAGACGGTAAGCCATGCTAGCCCCCTGAGCCAAGATTCTCAAGCTTAAGAAAGCTTTAAAAGGCTAAAACTGGGTAAACCTGCAAATCAGCATTACACAACTCAAGACTATAACAATTGAGGTTTCTACACACGCTTTCAGCTGCTGTTGACAGGTCAGAAACATGCCAGCTCTGAGCAACAAAGCCCAGACAGCACACGTCAACATTTTGGCTCTCTCTGCCATTAAAATATATTGTGTTCATATATTCAAGGATACATTTCATGTGATGTAACCTGTCCTGTGTAAAAGTTACTGACAAAAATACATAAGCCTTCACTATTTTCTGGATTCACTGTTTTCATAGCACTAACTGAATAATAACAAATGCACTGTGCCTATATGTGGTTTACTTTGTGTATGAAGAGGCTTGAAATTCAATAAAGAAACACTGAATCCTTTTCTTTTCAAGCACAAAGGGGAAGCAGACAGTTAGGACTGAAAGTAACCTTTAAAGGACAAAACCCACCTTCATCCTCATTAAACTCATTAATCTTTACTTAAATGAATCATACAATCTCTATAGCTGTGTTAAAGGTTATTTGATGCATAAACACAACAGCTCCATTCAGCATAAAAAAGGAGCTGCTTACCAATCACAGTGGTGGTCAGGGGATTCAGGCCTGTGATCTGTGGGGTGAGGTTATTATCGTAGGTGAAGGAGCTGATGGCCGTCTGACTCATGTTTCCCAACAACACTGTGACCGTCTGTGATCCCACAGCTCCCTGAAATAAGCATTTTAATAAAAGTAAGTACCTTATTCAGAGCTAAAGGCGGGAAATAATATAATGTTACATAACATTAAGTTGCGTAAGTTTTATTATGACAAGACCATATAACTAACTATGTCATTTCTGGGCATACTCTGTCTGATATGACCAATGGCCTGGTGGTGAACGTAGTATGAACTTATTTCTTTATAACAAATGTTACTCAAATATTCTGTTGTGTTAATGCATTTAACAGTTTTGTCAGTACGGTACATCACAAGAAAGGACTGCAGTAGTTAGTGACGTCTGACTGACTACAAAAATTAACACAATGATACATATGCTATATATATTATAGTAGCCATGCAAAGTGTCATTTGAAATAGTTTTAATAGGAAAATTAGTGAAAAGAACAAGTTAATAGCGACTCCAATGCATTTACTTGACTGTAAAGAAATTTTGTAAGTCACTTAATACGTCAGTGGCTAAAGCCTGAGTTTAAATTTCAGTTCTCATTGCTGGATTAACTTCAACAAAAAAAAAATCATCACTGATATATAAACATTTTTAAAACATCCTAAGAAAGCTTCAAGCTTTTTATATTTGTTTTTATTTTATTATGTCTTGTAATTACTATGCATGATCCAGCAAGTACTCACATTAAATTTAGATTCTTAGTGCACCTAAAAAAGTGTTACAGTCTTTTTTAAATAATGCAAAGTAACTACAGACCTGGATATTGGATTGGATAATTAAATATGAAATTATATGAAATTATTTGACTAATTTCTACCAACTCTGGATTTTCCAGTTTGCATTCTTCTTGTTTTCTGCTCATTTACTTTTTACTCAGTTCTCAGCACACTACACTACAGGTATTTTATTTGCATGCTATTACAGGTAAACACTGTGTATAAAAATGAGTTTGCACTGTGGGGACTTACTGCTGGTGTTCTGCATTTCAGTTCAGTGTCAGTTGAATCAATCAGTGTGCACTCTGCACTGCCAACAGTAACTGTAGCGTTCTGGCTGAAGCCAAAGCCTCTCACTGTCAGCAGAGTCCCTCCTGAGGAAAAAATAAAACAATAATTGTCTCGCAGAATTAGGTGTTTCATGGCTCACATAGAGGATCGTGGTTGTACCTGCAACGCTTCCAGAGAGCGGGATGAAAGAAGACACGATGAGCTGGTAGGTAAAGAGGAAGTTGCTGTCTGAAAAGCGTGAATCGCCCAGAGAGGGGAAGCTTACTAACACTGGGTAGGTGCCGGCACTGGTGCTGCCAAGTCTGCATACTTGAGTGGTAGCTGAAATATATTTCCCACGTTATAGTTAGTCTCCTGGAGACAAGTATCGTCTGAGTTATCTTAACGAGAACCTAGAGTAAAATGTTCACTTCTCAAAAATAACTTTACTCACCTGTGGTTGCTTCAACGTGGCACCTGGCCTTTCCCACCATGATGGAAGCATTTTCACTGCTGAAGCCAGTCCCAGTGACAGTTAAGAGAGTCCCCAGACCATTAGAACCTGAAACATTATATTAAATTATATAAGCTGCCTTCACCATACAGTACGGCATAAAAACACACGGCAAAATTTACAAAACTTCCAGGACTTGATCAAATAATATGAGACTGACAACAGGCTTTATACGAATACTGTCAAAAACTGGTGTTGATTGACAAGTTTTGGATAACAAACCCTTCACTAGTGGGCGTTTTGTTCAAAGCTGGAGCTCCTAAACTCCACAACTGTCTCCATTTTCAGATAAGTTCAACTGCATCACAAACAGCTTTTAAATCCAGACTCACCAGCTTTTTAAGCTTCACATTAGTTCTGACTCACTGTGTCATTTCTGTGCATCTATTCTATAATTCATTTATTCTTTATTAATCATTACTATCATTTTTATTTTATTACTTTAAAACAAAATAATTTTTTTTTTAAGTTAAATGTGCAAAGAGATCAGAGTCAAAGGAACTAAAGTTACAAAGTACAGCAGGTAACAGTAACTTGGTGATGAACTGAACACCTTGCGAAGGGCTGATTCCTGTCACGACTGGAGTTTTCTTTTCGGACCATATAAAGCCGCAGTCACCAGAACACTTTGATGGGATGCCGTTGATTTGAACCTCCACCTGCGAGCGGTCATAACGTGACAGTTATTAAAGACTGCTGTCAAACATGCTGCCTGCAGTCACGGAATATAACAATACATCAGCTTTATGCAAACAGAAAAAACAAAACTTGCTCTACAGGATGCACGCTAACAAAAACACATTAACAGATTAGCTGTAGCTATAGCAGACGGTTGGACACACATAACTTGAAACTTAAAACCACCTGGCCTGGAGGCTTTTTGATTCGCAGACGTACCTGTGGTTTGGTTTCCCACACTCGGAAAAAGTCTCCTGTCAGGCTTCGAATCCACAGACCTCCCTTTCGTGTTTCCGTGGCCGAAATAATGACATTTTCCCCGACAACTGACGAGTAATCGAACTGTAGCGAGTGAAAATCACAATGTATGATGTATGTTTATACCTTTTATGTACATGTTGTTATGACTGATTCATGTCATTGAAGCTTTTGTTACTAATATGGATATTTCCACGTATCTAATGTTGTATCACAATAGTAATTTTAAGCAACATTTGTAGAAAAGTGCCAAAATCAAAAAGTCACGTCAGTGAATGCACCAGAAAATATAAAATGTAATAATGAAATATACCAAGTTTAAAATTTTAAAACTGTGACATAAATTAATATTTATTAACATTTTATCATTCATTAATTTTACTTCTATTAGCGCCTCATTTAGCTAATATGGTGTTCATTTCTTTTTATTTAATTTTCTGTAGCATATTTCACAAATTGTATTTATTTATGCATTTTCTGCTTTAAAAAATGCAAATGAGCAGACTGTAATTCAGTGTTTTGGGGTCACAGAGCACATGACTACTTTGAGTCAGGAGATCATTACAGAAATGAAGCTGTTAGCTAATCTAGCAGAAAAAAGTCACTATACACAAAGTCTACATTCATCTTTAATACTATGTTATTGATGGAGATCTTCATTTATTTCTATTTATTCTCGATTTTGGCAGTTTTGGTCTTTCATGCGGTTTTCTTTATTAGAGAAAAAGTAGCCTTTCCTGATGGGAAATGAAATTTACATTTTAATAGAGAAAGGGTAAAAGAGCAAAGACATAAAGGAACACAAACACAACAGGAAGCGGTGCAGTCAGACCTGGATCAGAGGTTGGTCTCCTGGCTTTGTGAGCCACTTAACGCTCCACTGGGGACGTCTGCAGGTTCCAGACTTTTGGACGGTGACCTGGCCCATCCCTGCAATTCCCTCCAGGGCATACTTCAGGTCCTCCTCACTGATGTCCACAGATAAACCTAAAACCAAGGACTTGTTTTGTCATTTTTAATGATAGCCGTGTAAAGATATCCCAAAATGAATGATATTTGTACCACATCTATTAGGTTTCCCCTCTTGAAGCTGCAGTACTTCACTATTTTATATATCACAGAAACACTCAAAGCAGAATTCAAAGTGGAAAAGTGGTAAAGTAATAACTGAAGCTATAGCAGATGTATTGATTCTAGAGTGCTATGTTTTTAATCTAACGTTAATCTAAGAATAAACACCATAAGTCATTAGTTTTTCATCTGTGAACCTCAGAGACGCAGACATAACGTTACAGAGCTTACACTACCTGAAGCTTCAGCTCCCTGTTTCTTTCTCTTTGAGCCTTCAGAAGCTTTGTAAACTTTTAAAAAGAGCTTTTGTGCATTTACTTTGGATTAATGTCAACCTGTCATCCTTCACAATGGCATATGAGCAGCGTGGAAGTCAGTAATTAGTTATAGGTCACACAGAATTGAACCATTTGGATAATCCTATCTGTGGAACACCGCAGATGCAGGCAAGGCAGCTGTTACAATGCAAATTCTACTAATGTCTGTCAGCGCTACCTTCAGCTCGACCACCGTAAATCATCGCATCAAAAGTGCCGTTCAGAGGAGGGGAGGCTCGGTGAGGGCGGGCGATGGTCACTGTGGCAGCTCCTTCTTTAAACTCAGCCGCGTCCTCACTGTTGTTGGACATCTTCAAAAGACAGTGGAGAGAAAAAATATCAACACATTTCGATTTGTGTTGATATCACAGGATTACAACCTTCATCCTGGTTGTAAAGTGTGTGCCAGGTTTAAGGCCTTTTTTATCAACATAAAATGGATCATTAGTGAACTCACTTTAAGCTCATTGTGGGACAGTGGGACACTGTTTAAAGGACTCTCTGGATGTTGTGCTCATTATATTGTATGTTTGGTTCAAATGGCAATATGATGTATGCTGTTTTTTAACTTTTCTGCATTTACTTTACTTATGTTAATGAGCGTAAACTAGCTTTATTCTGTAAATACATCCTGTCACAAGAATTTCACTCACTGTTTTCAAAGGAAATAAGATAGTAAGTAGCATCCAGATGCTGCTAATCAAATCCATTGATTAACTGATCATCAACAAGTGTGACCTCCTCTGTATATTTATGACGAAAGAATTTCCCTCAGGATAAATAAAGTTCTTCTTATCTTATCTTATCTCATCTTAAAGGTTTTGTCAGTCTGTGCCATTCAGGTACGTGTTAACACAATTCCAAAATCTTCCCAAATTCAAATTGGATTCGGGAGACAGACACTATCTCTACTTTCAAGATTAGGCTTAAAACTTTCCTTTTTGCTAAAGCATATAGTTAGGGCTGGACCAGGTGACCCTGAATCTTCCCTTAGTTATGCTGCAATAGGTGTAGGCTGCCGGGGGATTCCCATGATGCATTGAGTTTTTCCTTTCCAGTCACCTTTCTCACTCACTATGTGTCAACAGACCTCTCTGCATTGAATCATATCTGTTATTAACCTCTGTCTCTCTTCCACAGCATGTCTTTATCCTGTCTTCCTTCTCTCACCCCAACCGGTCGCAGCAGATGGCCCCGCCCCTCTTTTCTCTGTATCTATGAAGCACCTTGAGGCGAGTTTTGTTGTGATTTGGCACTATATAAATAAAATTGAATTGAATTGAACTGAAATTCAAACCAGAGTCCGACTGTGCAGTGCTTAGAAAAGTATTAAAAAAAGTAAAACCAAGAAGTACACCTCAGTTGGCATGGTAAATATTAAATTTCATGGCAGCACTATTAAAAAAAGACTGAACAAGTATGGCTTCTTTGGATGGGTACAAACACCCCATACCAATTCTCAAGCACACTGGTGGAGGGGTGATGATTTGGGATCATGTTTTGCAGCCACAGGACTGGGCGCCATGCAGTCTTTGAGGTAATCATGAACTATTCTGTATAACAGTCAAATGTGAACCCTTCATCTTATTGGTACTAAATGTGGTTCTACAAGCTGGATTTAAATGGGAAAAGAACACCTGTTAAAACAACATGAAGCAGAAAACCCACATAAACTGCGCAAAGATTAATGTCAGCTTTAACTGAAATAGCTGACATTATGCTTTGGTGCTGCTTCTGCTTTAATTTGTTAGCCAAATAATGACTGTAGAGCAGGTGGAGGCATGACACGCATACAGGATCATTAAGGTGCCTCTCTGTACTGTAACTTATATCACACGCGTGGCTGCAGGTCACTGTACATTTCTACTGCTTTCATTCACATTGCTGAGGCAACACTGATCTCTTAAGCAGGACATCTGGTTTCAAAATACTGTTACTGAGTCAATTTTGAAACTTTATATCTACTTACTCTTCCTTTATCATCTTTTGGTTTGTTTTATTGAGACAATCCGTAGACACCGTAACACAATAGCACAGGAATGCAGGCTTAACTTTTAGCCTCGGTCCTTTCTTTGTGTGGATTTGTTTTCCAAGAAACACAAGCCAACAAGCCTAAACTCATACGGTTACTCCAATAAGATCCCACAGTACTGGCGTGACTGGGAAAGCCCCTTCTTCTCCCGTTTAATTTTAGCAACACAATATATATATATATTTTTTTTTTAACAAAAAGTTAGGATTTCAACGGCCAAAAATTGTTCTCATTATTTGCAGACCAAGAAAACAAATTCAGATTCTGCACTTGGATATGTACAGCATTGTAGGACAGGGACAAGACATGATGTATATAACCTGTGCTTTTTGGTTTTCTGTTTGTAGCATAGTTTCTATTAAGCAATCACATCTTAACAGGCATTGTTTGGATGCAGGTAAAAAGTCTAAGCGCAGAGTCAAAAAGACATTTGCCAAAGTGCATCAGATAACTAACGCTTGGTGAAAATGTAGTTTAGATTTATCTCCTTTTTTGAACAATAACAAGAAGTCAGAAATCAAAATCTTTGCCTTGATAGCCACAATAAAAGGCCTGAAAATTTCCCAGTTGCATTAAGAATATAGGTTAGCTTGCTAAACCTAAGCTTCTAGTCTTCTAGTCTAGTCTGCTGACTTTTAACAACGAAGCCAACCTGAACTGAACCGACGTTACATTTGTGATTTCCAGAAATCTAATGACTTCTTATTCAATATTTCTATTTTACACATCTAAATTAACATATCTAAATCCTACCTGCAGGAAGCCAACGCCTAGCAGTGGAAAATCAAATGCACAGTCTAGAGGTGTGGCTTTGATCTCATAGCTGATCCGTGAAGCAGACGATGCATGCTTGCTGACGGAGATCAACTCGAAGAACCGACCAGAATCCTCAAAAGGAGCGGGCCTCCTCTTGTTAGGAACAGCTGTGCAATAAAAAATGAGGAAAATTAAGTTTATCAATATTTAATTAGGGAGAAAACAAGTGTTTAAGACTCCCTGTACAGGCATCAAAGTTATACATTTAAAGGTATTCTGCAAAACGGTAGGATAGAAATATGTAACAACATAAAGCAGAATATTAAGATATTTGAATACTGTCTGTACAATTAAACAATAAGTACTATCCAACTCTGTACCATTTTCATCAATTGCAGTGGCCATCTTTCCAATATGAACGACATCTATGTAGAAATCTTCACCAGAAGTATCCTTGTACAGGTAGAACTCCAGCAGACTGTATCTGCTCCCAATGTATTGTGTCTGCAGAGAACTTTGCAGATTCATGCATTTGTAACTCCATCTGTGAAGAAAATATCTTATTTACACGCTGCACCGATATGTAATTAGTATCTTTGCACATTTTGGATAAATCAAAAGCACTTTTAGGATTTAGCACTGACTTGGAGCCCTTGTTGAAGATAGTGTTGATCTTTGTTGTGAGTGTTAGCGTTTTGCCTTTGCTGTCCTGGTAAGTGAACCTCATTCCAACTTCATCTTTCAACATTCCCTTGTATGCAAAGCAAAGCTGGAAGAAAATTAAATGAATATTTGTGAAAAAGGTAGCTGCACAATGCCATCAACAATAAATACATAAATGATTGATTTTTACCATTGGGTGCTTGTCCAATGAAACCGGTCCATATGTATCTCCAGACTCTGTTGTGTAGCTGTCCTTGAAAAGGATCTCGGCGTTCTTCAGCGACCACCGGCCACAGAATCCCGAGTGATCTACAGGCGTCCCTTCGTTTGCAATATTGAACTGATGAATGGAAAAAAGCAGAAAACTGAGAATCCACAATCAAATTCTCTAAATATTTAAGAAATCATTTCTCACAGTTTTCTGTTTCAGACTTACAGACATTTCTTTTCTGTTTTAGTATTTTTATTTGTCCCCACAAACCTGCGAATTGTCATTTTCAAAGTCTTTGAAGTATTTCACATCAGTGCCTTCAAAAGTCAAGATCTCCCCCGGACACTCTGCTTTCATCAGGTCTTCCAGAGCCGACTGAACCTGTTCACACAAGCTGGGCATTAGTTACCTCAAGACATCACACCTTTAACAAAACTGTAAAAATTCAGTTTTTGCAGGATCTTTGATAGTTATTTTCAGCAACAATCTTCATCCTAATCAGTCTGTGAATAATATGACAAAAATATCTCAGCTAAACTTCAGACGGTCACTGGACTCTTTTTTTTTAAAAATTATTTTTACAATACAGACCTCAGATTTGGATGCATTGAAGGCGATGGGCTTTGTAGGGATTCCTCCCCAGAGCAGAGTGAAGGTTTTCATGTTGCCCCTCCCCTTGGTAACCTCAGCAACAGTGATGTTGGTGTCCGAACCAAAAACCTCAAAGTGAAGAGGTTCAAAGTCACCTGCAAGCCAAGAGAGCAAAACCCACAAATTTAACACCCAACGAAAAAAGTCCGTTGCAAAGCTCCACACAAGCTTACTCTTTTTAATTATTTTATGCATCCGCCTCACTTTGGTTCTTCATACCTCTGTCAGAATTGAAAGTGACTATAAAGTGAGACCCTTCGCTGCTTTGTTGTTTGGTGACCATGACCGTGTCGGGTTTGATGGACCACAGGCTGTTCAAGGCTGTTTCTACCTCAGCTGCTGAAGCGCTGACTGGGATCGGTGCTAAATGAGGCAAAGACGAAGAAACAACGTGTATTTTGGGGTTCCATCAAATTGGACCAAGATACAGTATGCAAATTTTTTTGTGGCTATCAAATCCAAGTTTACTCAGTGTTTTTCACATTACCAGTCATGGCACGTCCATAGCCGAGGCTGAAGAAGGCGCTACTACAGAGTGCGTCAGAACAGCTGCTGCTCACAGTCACGTTCTGGACTTCCTTGACTCCAGCCACATTGGCGGGCCACATGTCAAAGGTAACCACCTGGTTAACAGTGAAAATGTGCAGAAATGAGGCACAAAGCTATGAAAAACATCATTCCATCCATTTTCTTCAGCTTATCCAATTCAAGATCAGAGGTGTTCCCATGCACTTTGCAACTTTTGCAAAACAGGAGCAAACCTAGCCTAGCTCTGTCCAACAGAGGGGGCTATAGTAACACTATTTAATGCTCAAACCTGTAGCATGTTACTGTATCTCATCTTTCTATTTTTTTTATTTCTAAGCTAACTAACCAAACATGCTCCTGTTTATGAAAGAGTATATTTACCCAAACGTCCGAATACATCTTTTGGAGGACTTGCAGATATTTTTGGATGAGTTGTACATTCACAGCATTTCTGCCATTAGAGGTCTTCCAGGCAAATAAAATACCAAAACATATAGTTTGAAGACATTTTGAAGCATTCTGAGTGGTCTTCATCACACCCATGAAAATATATTGGACTCAGCAGAACTCTATTATATTTAGCTGTGTGAATATATTGGTCATTTGATTTATTTCTAATAAAATAGCTGGAAGTAGCTTAGACTAGGCTTCCATTAGACAACTATTGATATAGCTAGAACAACAAATAATGAGCAACCTTCACTGTCACCTGTAACTTTAAAGCATTACAAACAGCGTTGCAACGTCATACCTACAGTACATTACTATATACACTAGTCTGATATCAGGCTTAGGTAAGGGCGTATGACACCTCTGAAAGGTGTAGCTACCACGTGCTGTACCTGCTCCTCATCAAACACGTCGTAATCAGCACCAATGTCCTGGACTTCATTGACAGCATCATCCGTCTGGTCTTCTGTGTAGGAACTCTCCCCTTGGAACAAGCCCAAGTTGATGGCAGCTGCACCGCCATATTCCTGTTGAAGAATTTCCATGTAATACCTAAAACAAAACATTTATAGTTATTTTAGGTATGCCTATAAAATCTTTGGTATACTTTGGATGAATGATTTGGGGTAAATAAAGCTGCAGGCTGCCAGGCTTACGGTTTGTCTTTCTCCAAGGCCAGTACTTGTGACTTTTGTGACGCCAGTTGTGTGTAGTCAATGACATAATATGGCTGATATGCAACTTTAACCTGAAGTAAAGGATTTAGGAAATTATTATCACTGAAGAACAGTAAACTGTACTGTGATTTGAAAAAAATTAATCTTGTCACACCTTATTTTCAGGGCGGCTCGAGTTGCTGAGATAGAGATCACATCGATCATCACAGTTCAAGTATATCGTGTAGTTGCCGGTGGCAGGAGGGACAAAGAAGCCTGTAAATCGTGTGGTGAAGTAATCCATTTCTCTGGGGAAGACGTAGGGCATGGAGTCGATCCACTGAGACCAGTAGCCAGTTGTGTTCTTGTTGTAGCTCCAAATATTGCTGAGAGAAGAGGGCCGCGAGTTGTTCCACACCTCCATTTTCAAGCCTCTTCCGCCTTCACATAAAAAGTAAAAATGAGGTATGCAAAAACAGTTAGTCGCTTAATCAAGGAAAGAAAATGAAATGCCAAAGAGATGGCATATTAGCATAATAATCTATGATAAAAGCAATCAATAGACTAATATCAGCAACAATGTTAATGTATTTCAGGGCCACACTGCTTTTGTCCCTGAGCTAAATACTAAAATCAGTCAAGATGAACAATAGTAAGATAAAAGGCTTACAAGTGTGAGAAAAGCCACAAACGAAGTAAATAATGAAAAACATGAACTCATTTCAAATACTGAAAAGTCAACAGAGTGTTACAAAATAAAATCCCAGTGGTGACAGATGAAAACCAGACTGGCCTGAATCAGACAAACACGGAAAACGCAAAGCAAATAAAAACAGAAAAGGCAAGCATGCAGCGAGCCGGTACGGCTGCCTTTTGACCTCGTTTTAACACAAAGGACAGGTGAGTTATTTTTTATCATCAGATCTCACCAATCTCTGGTGAAAGGATTTTTTTTTTTGGACAACAGTATCTCCTCATAGCCCAGATCTGATTAATCTGTCAAGAGCATTTTTTTGAAATACATATTTGGTAAATGCAGAAGCTGGTAATCCATTTAAATAAGTTTTGTGCATCTTGAAGCAAATTTTACAGCAAAGGAACAATAAATAACAAGTCCTTAAAGATTAAGACGGTATATGGGTCATAACAGATCACCCGAATTCCTAACCGACCCCCTCAGACTCAACATGGACTTTGTACAAATAACTTTAATACAATATTTAACCTTCATTCTATGAATATTTAAGTGAAGTACACAGCTGTGGATCAGGATCTGGTCTTCACTGATAGAACTTGGAGACCTTTCATATGCTACAATGTGTTTGTGTCAGCCACCTCTTCGATACGGTGATATCACCACCAGAGCTTTCAGTTTTGGGACTTTCAAGTTGTATTTATTATTAAATATTTTTATGTTTGGTTATTAGTTGTCTTACTGTGTAGATTTTCATCTTGATGTTATTCCTTGGCCTCAGTTTTGAGTGTTTACTTCCAGCTTCTGTTATTTTAATTTATTCCCTCAGTGTTTCATCCTCCTGTGTCTCTTCTGCTACAGAAAGTTATTTTATGTTTCTGTATTTCCCCATTTAGTTATGGCTTTCACTATTTGTTTACTAGTTACTTGTCATTTATGTCTTATATTTGGTTTCCTCTTGTTTAATCACCTGAATTACTTTGGTATGTGTGTTTTCACAGCTCTGTCTTCTTTCCCGAATTAGCCCTTTGTACAAACATAGCATGGATTTGTTATTCTTCTCTCACTTTTTGTAGTTTCTATTGCTTCCTATCCACCAGTAAAGGGTGTGCTTTATATTTAAGCCTGCCTGTACAGTCAGTTTTTAGGTCTGTTTGTGTATGCTGAAATATGACAAAGATAAAACATCCAGGGAACCAATGTGTATTTAAAGAAAAGTTAAAGGTGATTATGTTCCTGATAGAAATAGTGGTAGAAATTGAAAAACATTAAAAGGCATGTGTGTGTTTTTTTCCATTCACGTCATCGTGACTGAGAACTTTTCTGTGATGCACGATTAAAGTGATTGTTTGTGCTGGAATGATTATCTCATTCCAGCACACAGCACATCAAAGTCATAGTCTTGATAAAAGGTGACAAGAACAAGATGAAATCTCTAAGACAGCAGATTTGTTGACAAATAGATACTTTAAATTCTTCCACTCTTCAAGTTGTCCACAGATTCCCATGTGTTACTTAGATAATTACACAGTATGACAGCGGCAGGATGGATCAAAACAAGTGCCGGATTAAAAGACAAACACATCAGAGGAGACGGCACGTTCTCACCCGGGTAGACTGCTGCGTTCTTGTTCATCTGGTGTTCTGCAGTCTTGCATGTGATTCTGTCATCGTCCACACTCTGGACTTCACAAGGCAGGCCTGTGGAAAAATATCAAACGTCAGCGGCTAAAGGTACATTTTAGCTCACATCAACTTTACACACACATGCAGAAAAAAACAGCAGAGCTGAATAAAGCATGTTTTCATGTGGGGGGTTTATTTACCTAACCTGTAGAATTTTGAAACATTTTACAACCACTCGACGGTGGTAGAAAGCACAATTAATACAAAGTATTGTATGTAAGTACATCAATGAGTATCAAGGTACTTCAATGACATTTAAGTTCATGTAACCGCCACCTATAATCCAGCTTTAACTTTAAAAGTCTACCTTTAAAACAAAAACACAATAATATAATCTATTATAAAATTCACGTGTGTTGTAGGTTTTCTTTACTTATTTTTCAGCTGGTTTAATATATTTTTTATTTCTTCCCGTTAGTCATTTTGTAACTTATTTAAAAATAAATATAAATCTAATTTATTATGATGTATGAATATATTTTTCTGCAAATATATTTTTTTTCCATCACCACTTAGATTTTATTTCTTTGTTTCTTTCTACCATCATACATTTGTACAATTTTCTAACTGGTAATGTTTTGTAGCTGACAATTCAATGGCTATTTCTGCATTTAACATCTTTAAAATCATCTATAACTTCAAATATGCAAATATATAAATACTTAGAGAATAAATTACTGTTTGGTTTCATATTTTCTAACTGTAAAGCTCATAAAAATAATAATTCGTCTCCACATTACACTCTCCAGTCTGTTACTGATCATTTGTGTGTCACATCACAGCTGACATACATTTCCAATGCATTGCAAACACCTGAATTTAGTGATCTGTATCGTTATCTTTGTGGAGAGGAATGCCTTTAAATGGTGATTCCATATCTGTTGTCTACATATTGGGTCTTACAGTTCAGTTACAGTCTCACATCTATTATTATTGCATATGTACCATAACTGAAAGTCAGCAGCATACTACATGACTCACAAAGCCCTTGGAAAAGCAGCATTTTTGTCATGGTGTGCTGTGCTTCTGTGCTTTGGAAAGTTATTTCCTCTGCTGTCTGACAAGTCAGTGGTTTTGTTTTCAACGCATGCTGACATGCTGCTGCGTTGACAAGGATAATCACCTTTGCGTGCCTTGTAGTTTGAACAACACATAGAAATTTGTTTAGTGGAAACGCGTGTATCATTTATCCATTCATACTGAACACTTTGTGCTGAAAACAAGTTGACACGGCTGTTGCTGGTTAGTGTTTTTATGCGTTTCTGTTCCGATGGTGACGATTACCTCCAACGAGAACGCGTGCTGGTTGATCAGTTTCGTCAAAAAAACGACCCTGAACGGTCAACAGAGTTCCACCCATGATGCTACCCTCTGAAGGAAAGACCCCTGTCACCTCTAAGAAAAAGACAAAAACAAGGAATAAATACTAAATGTAAGAACTGAATCATCGTGAACAACAAATATCTGCTCTCCTAAGTACCTGCAAAGGTCTGAAACATGGACAGCTTGCCCAAAGCTGAAACCCTGTAGAGCTTCTTCACTGCCTGACTCCTACAGATTATAAAGAAAAAAGAATGGCTTCTTCTCAGCACAATTTTCAGTTTATCATCTGCAACAGCTAAAAATGTTCAGAAGCCACAAATTTTACATTAAACAATTGAAGTGTTTTACCTCCCAAAGTCTGCATCAAGAATGTAACTCAGGTTTTGATGACCTGTTGGATACACAATATATTACTAAAGGGTTGTTTGGAAAACTTGAAAGTGACATATATTAAGAAGAGCTGTAATTTCAGTGTGAAGAAAGCCAGCCTACCAACAAACGTCCCCGTCATTTTGCAGCTCATGTATCCCATTTGTGAAGATTGAGAAACCAGTTGGAGGTTATACCTTAAGATATATTGTGCAAAAAATGAAATAACTTTTCTTTTCTTTTTATAGTGCTCTGAATATATTCAATGTAGAAAGCACGCAGGTGAACAACTTACCGTTCATCTGAGTTGGGTTTAAGCAGATCACAAGGCATTCCTCCCATGTAGGATCTGCAATAAAAAGAAGATTACAGAGGTGTACAAATAAAGTTTAAGAAAACTGATGGATGAGGCTGGATCTGTTACAGAATATTAACAGATTATCTTCAAATCGTGACCTTTTTTCATTTTATAAAATTGCTTTTTGCTGCTTTGGTAAGATTAATTGGTTTACAGAAATACAATTTCAGTTATTTTAACATTTTCTACCTCAGAAATCTGGCGTTGATTCCATTTGAGCTCAAGTCTGTGTTGCTTCCATATACATCGGTAAAGATACGTCCATACACGGTCACCAATGTGCCTGCCATGTCATTAGAGTGGGTTTAACAAAAGTTCAAAGTGAACTCAGTAAAATAACTGAATGCAGCACACACGTTACCTGGAGGACCACTGACTGGACTCAGAGATTCAATAGTAGGCGTGCGATACCAAACAGTCTGAAAAGAGTTAAAGTAAAGGTGATAAAAAAAACCAATGACCACAACAAATCCAAAACACAGATAAATGAAAGTATGTGTTGCACACAGACTTACTGTAAAGATGCAGAGCGAACTATAACGGCACATGCTGTTGTCTGGAATGGGAACACCATCCACGCTGACATGGATTTCATAATAATCATATGGCATGGGTCTGTGAGAGACAAAGAAATGATTTTAGATGGCAATGACATGCAGGAAGTAGCTTTAAAAAAGAGCCATCATTATAATATTCAGTATATTGAACATCAACAGCCAGACTCCTAACTAAACAAATACTCAGTGTTAAGACTCATATTACAGAGTACTTCTGCAGGGGGTTTGTACAAGTAGTGTTGTGTTATTTTTAAATGTAATATAAAAAATGAAAAACTGGAATAAAATTCCACTTTCTAGCTTTATGCAATAATATGCAAATATAGATTCTATACAATTACACATACATACATTATGCATACAGTACAGTAAGTTTTGGTAAAAATGGGCCAATATGCAAGGACTAATCAATTAACCAGAATTAAACAACAGCTATTATAGCTAAGTTATCTAGAAAGTTAATTAATCTTTTATTCACAAGGACGACTAGGGGCGCTCAGAGGGGAATTTATTTTAGGCACAGTGTTTTATTTCCTGTCTCCCTTCCCTCACCCCCAACCACTTGCAGCAGATGACTGCGCCTCCCCCGAGCCTGGCTTTGCCGTAGGTTTCTTCCTGTTAAAATGGAGTTTTTTATCCTGCTGTTGCCAAGTATTTGCTCATAGCTTTTCGTCCGATTGTTGGGTTTTTTCTGTATTATTGTAGGGTCTTTAAGTGACAATATAAAGTGCCTGTGAAATAATTAAGTAACTTGTGAAATGAGTAAATACAGACGTGCTGCTAAAGTATGCCTGGACTGCACCTGGTGTAGCACATAATCTGGTTGCGGTGTGTGGAGTCTCTCTCCACATCACAGGGGACTGACAGGGTGTTTGACACCAGGGTCACACGGTTTCCAAACATGTCGTCTACTGGATTCAGCTGGAACTGCCGCTCCTGTGCAAAACCTGGAAGGGAAAAAAGGGGGCAACAAAATCTCAGAAGGTAATTGTTTTTGAGGCTTAGAGTCACATCTTTCAGCATCATCCCACCAGGCCAGCAGGCACAAGGACTCTCAGGACAGTTACAACTGCATTAACAAATCTTCTTCAGCTGCATCTTTTAGCTACAGAATAGCTTAAAATTGACTTATATCTAAGAATCCATCATAACTTGTTTTACAAAGTAAAATAATGCCCACACTACTTTTTAAATTTACTTCTAAACCTCATTACGGATCTCCTACCATCTCCTTGAATGGTGAGTCGTGTGGCTCCATTGACGCTTCCTATGCGTGGGGACACGGAGGTTATGCGCTGAGCATCTGCAAAATTGAATTAAAACCGCATGAGAAATCTTTTTTCCTCGAGTGTGAACAGCGAGCTAAAACAACTGAGTTTAGAATAGAAGTTGACTTAACTTACCGCAGCAACACCAAAGAGCGAAGAGGAGAGCTGCGGCCTTCCACTTGACCTCCATCCTGAAGAGCTCCCAGGTTACTTTGCTGCCTCACCTGCGTCCCTCTCTCGACCGATTGTGAATCACGTGACACAAAAGTACTATTTAAAACAAAAATATCATTGAAATTTATTGACAGCCATAGAATAAATATATGTGGTAAAATGTACAATTATTAAAACAAATATTATTTTAAAAAATTGTATTTTTCATTTTCCAGTGTGACATTTAAGTGAACAAAACTCACCTGCTGTGAGAAAATTTTGTTTACCTGTTGATTGGGAAACTGTCAGTTCAGGGACGCGCACTACCTTTTTATAACGTGCTCAGGGTCCCGCCCCTCACCTGAAACTGGGAGGAGACTGGAAGAAGTTTTTGCTGCATTTATCAGATTTTTAAGATGTCTGCATTTAAAAACAAACGCGAAAGTGAGTCAAAAACCGTGATAAATAATGGCTCCATGAACACGGGACGTAATTAGCGATGAACATGTGGAGGAAGAAGTGGAGCTATAAAAAGCTAAAGTATGCAAAGTTATACACGTTTTGCATTTGTTCAGTCCTTCAGTAAATATGGTCTTTGTGTAGCCTTTGACTTTTTCACACCGTTTCATGACCGTTGGATTAAATTTGCATTAAAGTGCAATCATTCTCCACTTGCACAATGTGCTCTTGAAGTGGTCTTCATGTTATTCTGTTATTGTCATGTTATTCCACGTTTCATTTATAAAACATATCGTACAGTAGTGCTTCGCATTTCAGTCTTTGAGTGTTTGCAAAACTGTCTGTGATCATAACAATGATAAATAAAACTCCTTATGATGCTTTCAACCTTATATTAATTGTAGATTTCCTATTCAACTAATTGTGCCTTGAACCATAAAAAGAAAACAGATCTAAAACTGGCAAACAGTAAATAATAATAATAATAATAATAATAATAATAATAATAATAATAATAATAATAATAATAATAAATAATGTCAAACATAGTTCACTGACAGATTACAGACCAGTCTCTTGGTGGCCCTTTTCCCTTTAGACTATGTCTATTTAAAAAAAATCCAAACAATGCATAGAAAGATTGCTTAATTAAATTCACCAAAGTGGGTGTAATATTCATAAATATGAAATAATTCGAAGGGTGTCCTCATGACTTTACAGATGGAATCACGAATGCCAAACCGCTGTTTACCTTCAGAAGCCTGACATCATAGAAATATTTCAGCATGATAATCATCCAAAGCACATTGTCAAAAATCACACGAGTGTTTCAAGAACAAAAAGAAAAAAGTTGTTTTAACTATTTCACCTGACTTGAATCCAACAAAACACCTTCAAGGTATTTAAAAGAAATGTAAAGTAACAAACCCCTTCCAGGAAAGAGATTGTTATCAAAATGTCTTTGAGCAATGACATGACGTTGTTCTTCAACACAGATACTCTCCATGTACTTATAATAAGCAAACCCCCACCTCACCCACTCTGATCACCTTTCTGTTACGCTTGAGCCTGCTTACAAACCATTCTGGAAGCGCAGCAGACCAGTGAGAAAACAGACCAGGATCTGGCAGCCTCAGCACAGCCTCGGCACTAAAGACTGCTTTAGGAACACCGAATGGGGGGTGTTCAAGACAGCAGCCTCGCAGGGAGACCAGATAGACATAGAGCACGCAGAAGCAGTAAACAGCTATATTGCTAAGAGGATGTCACTGTAGTTAAGGCCTTCACTGCACGTGGCAACCAGAGACCCTGGTGGAGCATGAGACTGCTCTTCCTGTGGCCAGGTCTGCGAGAGACACCTCTGCGAGACAGGAAACACCAGATGAACATGGCAGGGAGTACAGGCACTGATGAATTGCAAGGGGTCAATAAAGATGATGCTTCTCTTCCGGACAGGTTCAATAACTTCTTTGCATGCTTCCAGGCATCAAACCGAACATACAGAGGGAAAGTGGGTTCTCCTCCATTATCTACAGGGCCAGCTGTTATTATAAGTGCAGCAGATACCAGAGGACCCTAGCCAGGGTCAACCCACGGAAAGCTGCAGGTCCAGATAACATCCCAGGACATGTGCTCAGGGACTGCACTGGTGAGCTGGCACATGTCCTAAATGCTATTTTTAACGTCTCCCTCAGTCATGCCACCGCACCGAGATGCTTCAAAATATCCACCATAGTGCCAATAGCAGAGAAACCAGTTTTATCTTGTCTAAATGGCTACAGTTCCGTCGCATTGACGCCAACTGTGATGAAGTGTTTTGAACAGCTTATCAAACCACACATCACAGCCACCCTTCCTGCATCAATTGACCTGCTCCAGTTTGCTTATCATCCTAACCACTCCACAGAGGATGCATTAACCACCACCTTGCACTCAGACATCCCCCATCTGGACCTATGCCATACTCCTATATATTGATTTTAGCTCAGTGTTTAACACCACCATTCCACAGAGACTACTAGAGAAACTCCACTTACTGGGGCTGAACACCACACATGTCTTGGGAGAAACATCTCCAAACCCACCATGCTGAGCGCTGGATCTCCTCAAGGATGTGTTCTCAGGCCACTGTTGTTCAGGTTGTTAACACATGACTGTGTATCCAGATATGAGGGGAACCTAGTTATTAAGTATGAAGATGATATCACAGTGGTGGGACTGATTTGCAGAAATGATGAATCAATGTACAGGAAAGAAGTTGAACGTCTTGTGGGCTGGTGTAGAGTGAATAATCCGGAAGATACGGATCCAGCACGCTCCTCTCAGTATCACCGACTACCCAGTGGAGAGAGTAGAAGACATCAGGTTCTTAGGTGTTCAGATCTCGAAGCACCTGAGCTGGGACAAGAGCATCTCAGTGATCAGAAAATGGGCCCAGCAGGGACTGGGTGAAACAAGCCTCTGTCCCCTCCAGCATCCTCAGGACTTTTTGACAGAGGCATGTTCTGACATACGGTACATGTATATCAGCGTGGTCTTCCAGCTGCAGTATGTCAGACAAAACAGCACTGCAGAGGATAGTTAGAGCAGCTCAGAAGGCCCTTGGAGTTCCCCTGCCCTCTGTCCAAGAGCTTTTCGAGAGCCACAGCAGGAGAAGTGCACTGAAAATGGTGAATGACTCCTCACACCCCCTCAATTCTTTGAACTGTTGCCATCAGGCAAACGGTTATAGCTGTTGGAGGCTTCCTCCAACAGCTTCCTCCCACAAGCTGTTAGAATGCTGAACTGTTGATTTGGTTATGTACAGTACTATACCCAGAAGTCTTTAGAATTAGTTTTAATTAGTTATCTTTCTTACTCAGTTCTTTATTTATATAATTATCTTTTTTTTTTCTTTTAAAGAGACTATTTTACAGTGATGCATCTGGGATACATGTGTGTGATTGTACAGAGTGGGGTGTTTCCATGATGTTTGTGTGTGTGTTCTAATATTTTTAAGACCCTGAACAAACACCCTTTCATTTTGCCTGCACTACGGCGGTATGAACAGCAAATTGAGAATTTAACATTTAACAAGCTAAATGAGGCCTGTAGAGTCTGAGCTGTAGCTCATATATCAAAGTTTCTCTAAGCATTACTCCTTGGGGACAATTTGCTGGGATGTCCTCTCATAGTAACGCTATGACGTATTTTCCACTTGTGACTGACTAATCTTTCTCAGCGTAGAATGATGAGCTTCAAAATGTTTAGAAATATCCTTTACAAACTTCCAAGACTGTTGGAACAAGTGCTTCTTCGAGATCATTGCTGATGTCCTTCCACCATGGCACTGCATTAACACACACCTGAAAGCTCCAGAGCAGGGAACTGCCAAAACTTCTACTTTTATAGAGGTGCTCACACTTGCTGATGATCAGCTATTCAAGTGCATTTGATTAGCAGCTGCTTAGCCTCTTAATTCCTATGGAGGCAGTAATGATGTACTTTTTTTCACACACTCTTTTTGTATTTTGTGTAGCAAGTTATGTTTTGTTATTTATCTGAGATAATATTTATCTAATTTCAAGACGTGTTTAAGACCAGATCATTTTTTATTAACTCCTGATCCGTAAAACCTACTGCCAATCAACATTATTATTTCTGGGGTGTATTTTCCCAACAACTGTAAATAAATAACATTTCAAAGTTTATGATGCAATTATAAGTTTTTGTTTTTTCGACATGGGCGACAGACTGGGGACCGGTCGAGGGTGTCCACTGCCTTTTGCACTAAGACTTAATTTGTCTGCACTTTTGGGTTTTGATCAACCAGACAGGTAGCAATTACAACAAGAATGACCAAAATAGGCATGACTTTATTTTTCTTCTCCAAAACTGCAGCATAAACTAAAAATCAATATGAAAACACACAATAAAAAATAAAATTAGCACTAAAATGAACACAATAAACAACAGTTTGGATTTCACTCGTGGATCAACAGTGAGTAAAAACAAACAAACAAAAAAAAAAAGGGAAGTGTGTCATTCACAAGGTTGCATGTTGAGCTAAAAAAGCTCTGATTCTCTGGAGGAGTTCTTTCTTCACACTGTCTGGTACAAGTGCTGCAGAGGAAAGAGATGAGGAGAGATAAGTCAGAACACAAAATAGAAACTTACATACTCACACAACACGATACTTTTATTGTCAGAAGTTGTCATCTTGTCAGCTGTTTCTAATATTTTTTTCTATGTATGTTATAGTGTTGGCCTGGTAGATAAAATGACTTTTAAGAGGCACCAGCTCCTTCTAAAACTTCCTACGAAGCTCAGAAACATTTCCAGAAATCACCATGCCATGCACGAATAATGGTTAATATCCAATATGCCCAAATAATGGAAAATGATCCAGAAACACTGCCATCTTCTCTAGGCTAAAGCTCATTTAAAATGACTGAGGCATCTGAAAGTGTTCTTCAAATGGGCAGTCAATGTCCAAAGACAAACTCTGAAAGACCTTCAGAAAGTCTGAAGAACTACTACTGAAGACCAGTTCAAAACAGTTTAGAGAAAATACAGCGTCTGGCTCCTTGGAAGAAAAATATAAAGGAGTGAGGGGTGGTTCAAGACTGTATATCAGGGAAACCTGAAATTGTAAGAGCTGTAATCAATAAGTAGTGCTGACCTACAACATTAGCAGTTTGTTAGTTAGCATGCACAAAGATGTATTAAAGATTATGTGCAGTGCTAAATAAATAAATTGACTTGTACATCTAAACCAACGATGCAAATGAGTATGCTCATCACTTCTAACAGTCTTCCTCCCCCTGCTGTTGCGTTTGAACATCTGTACTGTACC